ATCACATAAAAATCTATTTTAATGTACTAGCAATAAACACGTGAACATTGAAATTTAAAATGCCGTACCTTTATAATCACTCCAGAATTGAAATACTTTAGTATAAATCTAACAAAATATGAATAAGAGTTGTACGCTGAAAGCTATAAAAGATTGATGAAGGAAATCAAAGACAATCTAAATAAACAGAGAGACATACCATGTTCATGGATTGGAAGACTTAACCTAGTAAAGATGTCAATCCTCCTCAAACTGATGTATGAAATTACCATCAACATTCCAGCAAGATTTTTCATAGACATAGGAAGCTTATTCTAAAATTATATGAAAAGGCAAAGGAACTGTAATAGCTAAAACAATTTGGAAAAGAATAAAGTGGAAACAATGCATCTACCCAACTACAGACTTGGTCATATAGCTTCGTAATCAAGACTGTATTTTATAGTTGGAGGGATAGACACAGATGAATGGGACAGAATAGGGAACAGAAAATAGAGAACTCATGTACATGGCCAAAGGTACAAAAGCCATTCAATGAAGGGGAGTCTTTTCAACAAATGGTTCTGGAGTGTATCTTAAAATAAATGGTATCCTCAATTCAATAAGATACAGTATTTCTTTGCACCTATTCTGTGCCAGACACTGTCTATTCACTAGGGAAATGGCAGGGAGCAAAAGTCCCTGCTTGCACATTACTGACATTCTCATGTCATGGTCTCCAGGAGAAATTGTGGATGCTGGAGAAGGAATGAGGGCTCCAGAAAAGAATTCAGGGGCATTAGCTTTCATCTGGCTGGGTTCACGGCAGAAGGGAAGACTTTCGATGCCGAGAAAACTGTATTCCATCACCCATCTCTGTCTCCACATGCTGCTCCTGACTAATATTTGTCAGGTTGCTGTATGATTCACAGGAGTGGGCTACAATGCAGGGCAGGGCCTAGAATATATTAGAGTCATGATTTTGCCCTTGTGTGCCCATAAATTCTAGAGCCTACAAGGACTCTGCAGCGGAGAGAAGTGTGAGGGCAGGGCTGTGTGATCAGAGAGAGGAGGAAACACACACACAGCAGGTAAGGGGCACCTGGATAAACACTTTACAGGATGTTGGTTCAATAAAAACACCTACTCAGTCGATGTTCACTGAACTGAGGGAATCCTGGGAGGATGACACCAGCAAGCACTCTACATGGAGAGACAAGGGTGCGATCTCTCCCAACGATCCTCGCAGGCTTTGATGGAAGTCAGGCATGAGAAAATCAGCCCAGCAGAAAGCTTCAAAGAGAGGGCAAAGGTCACAAAACAAGGAGTTTATCTTCACTGCGTGATTTAACTCTTAACATATTCTATTGACTGCCCTTCTGGCTTTTTCTGATCACTGCTAACCTCTGATTCAGGGCTGAGACGAAGCTGCGTCTAGTATTGTTTTCAGTACGCAGGGAAGCAGCGATGGTTGGCTTTTCCCCAGATCACTCTGTCCCCAGTGCCAGCACTGTTAACCCCATGCTCCGTACTGCAGCAAGAGAAGGAGATTGTCCAGTTCCAGCCAGTTTGGATGACCTAGACCAGTGGTTCTCAACCTTCCTAATGCCGCAGCCCCTTAATACAGTTCCTGTGGGTTGCGACCCACAGGTTGAGAACTGTTGATCTAGAACATACTCCCAATTTTCTACTCTAAAGCGATAAATTCAGAGACACTGAGAGTCTTGGGGGTCTTTCTACTGAAAGGGACCTCAGTGCTCACCACCCACGGGACCTGGCCTGGGGGCAGCTGCACATCCACAGGGTGGAACAAATTGGCCCAGGCCAATTGGAGTCAGGCCTAGCAAAATTAAGCCCAAGCATCACCACCTCTTTGCGTGTGTGGGTGACCTTGGGTGATTACCCAAGTGCTCTGAGATTCAGTTTCTTCATCTGGAAAACGGGGAGAGACATTGAGGTTGCTGTGAGGCTCAGAGAGGTGCGTGTCGAGGGCCTGACACAGGTCAGGGCCGCACTAGGGCAGAGCATGGTAGATGAAGCTGGGTTTGAAACCTGTTTAGAAGCCATGTGACCCTGAATGTGGTGCTTCACTCCTCTGTAGAAATGAGATCATAATTGCTACCCCACTGGGTTATGATGAGAATTAGGAATAATATTGCTCAAGGACCTGGGGACAGACGTAGCACATGGCAGGTGTTTAATAGATGGTGTTCTCAGTTATTGCCCTGGGTTATTGTAAACCTATGTTAAACAAAAGCCTAAGTTTAACCTATGTTAAAGCCTAAGAGAGTTCCAGGCACTTAGGAGGCGTTCAAAAATATCTTGAGCCCGGTGTGGTATCTCACACCTGTAATCCTAGCACTTCGGGAAGCCCAGGCTGGTAGACTTAGGCTCTGAAAGGGTTAACGGCATCAGCAAGAGTCACAGCCAGGCCACATTCTCAAGGATCATCAGAGGATGCTGTCCTCAGGGACCACACCCCTGGGTCAGACACTGTGCTGGGTGCCGAGGACATAAACAGCTATCGTATTTAGCCAGCAGTGTTTGCAGAGCACCTACTACGTGTCTGTGCACAGAGATGCAAACAAGATAGCCAAAGCCCTGCCCTCCTGGCTAGTTGGGGGACAGACATTTAAACACAAGCTGTGGCAAACCCCAAGAAAAGAACAAAACACTCAGCAAGAAACTGGAGAGTGGCAAAGATGGATCTACAAAGTCCCTGCAAGTAACCACAGACGTGGGCACAGTTAATGCATCCCAGCCTGGTTTATGATACTGAAAACACACACACAGCCTCCACCTCCCACAGTAGGGAGCAGCTATGTCACAATGTTCCCAGAGCTGCAGGTGTACGTGGCACCCTCATAGCCCCAGGTCTGTCTGACAATCAATGGCTCCCTCCTGCCACTTTCCATTAGAAATTCCAACTAGTGGCCCCGTAGCTCAGTGAGTAGGGTGCCAGCCATATACACCGAAGCTGGCGGGTTTGAGCCTGGCTCGGGCCTGCTAAACAAAATGCCAACTGCAACCAAAAAATAGCCAGGTGTTGTGGTGGGCACCTGTAGTCCCAGCTACTTGGGAGGCTGAGGCAAGAGAATCACTTAAGTCCAAGAATTTGAGGTTGCTGTGAGCTGGTGATGCCACAGCACTCTACTGAGGGCAACATAGTGAGACTTAGTCTCAAAAAAGAAAAAGAAATTCCAACTAGTTCTAATCATATGACTGGTCAGAAAAATTTGGCTTATTAAGACCAAATGCAAAGTCTTTATTAAGACTGTGTGCAAGTAGTCATGTAGAGTATCCGAGCATCACGTCGGGCCACATCATCTGCTGGTGCAGAAAAGGGGCTCTGCACCCAGACAAGGTGGTCTGGATGCAGATCCCCACTGTGGGGGCTGTGGCACCTTGGGAGTGTTGTTAACTTCTCTGAGCATCAATGGCCTCATCTATACCTGGGCATCATGATAGGACCGACCCAGCTCACTGGGATGCTGGAATGAAGCAGAATTTGAACTCAAGCCTGCCTAATCCCCTAGCTCTTAATTAATGAGGCCAATTCTCTGGTTCAAAGCCAAAGCAAACAAATAAAAAACATACACAAAATCTCCAACCTCCAAACGCTCTATGCTCATTCCAGATCCCCATGCACACCCCCTCTGAGTGCTCCCAGCTGGGAACTGTCTGTCCCCCTACTCATCACCCCCCTAGCAGGCACAGCCTAGCACCAATTACCCAAGCACAACTATAGCTCTTTGTCTGAGTGAGCGTCCCCATGGCAGGTGTGGCCCACACTTGCATTGTTTAGTATGACACCCAGAGGCCCAGCATCCTCAAGAGTGCAGGGAGCCCTGCCTTCCAGCCCAGGAAGCTCATCTTGCCCTCCCAGCTCTGACACTTGCTAGCTATGGCACCTTAGGCCAGTTACTTTTCCCCTCTGAACCTTGATTTTCCCTCTGTAAAATGGGTTGCAATAGTAAGCCCATATATACCCACCTTGAATTGTAGTAAGATATAGCTGTGATAAAATGAAAATGACATGTCACATAGACAGTTTCATACTCTGGAGCTGGATTCCTTTGGTTCAAACCCCAGGTCTACCACTCTGGCTGTGACCTCTCTGTGCCTCAATTTCTTCCTCTATAAAATGGGTATAATAATAGCACAACTTCAGAAGGTTGCTATGAGGATAAAATGAGAGGCTACTCAAAGAACCTAGTTCACAGGCTTGTTGCCATGAGCTACTTCAAGTGATATGTAGAGAAAGGTGACCAGCACAGGGAAGACACCAAGAAGGTGAGCTGTCACAGAGGCAGCCCAGCTGGGGAGACTTGCCCCAAGCCTGTGGTCTTGGAATGTGTACCCTGGACTGTGACCACTAAAATCTCACTGCTTTTCTTGCCTTCTCCTCTCTGACACCCCTACTTGGCATGCTTAGGTGAGGCTGGGTAGGTTTTTTTTTCCGAGACAGAGCCTCAAGCTGTCAAGCTGGGTAGAGTGCTGTGGCATCACAGCTCACAGCAACCTCCAACTCCTAGGCTCAAGCAATTCTCCTGCCTCCACCTCTCAAGCAGCTGGGACTACAGGTGCCTGCCACAATGCCTGGCTATTTTTTGGTTGCAGCCATCATTGTTGTTTGGAGGGCCCAAGCTGGATTTGAACCTACCAGTTTAGGTGTATGTGGCTGGCGCCTTAGCCGCTTGAGCCACAGACACCAAGCCAGAGGCTGGGTAGATCTTCATGTCACAGCCACCAGGAGAGATGGGGCTTTTCCCATGAGGACTAGGATCCACTCCCACTGCCCCTTCCCAGGAAAGTTATAGAGCCAGCTTGTCACTAGTGCTGGTATCATCAACGGTGACATCTGGGAGTCCAAGGGGCAGATCCAGGGCAGAGGAGGGGCTGAGAGCCCACGCCCGGACCTTAGTGGGGAGGACTGAGCTGCTGGGCCCCAGACCGCAGGTGCTGACTCATGGCCTCTGCTGGGCGGTATAAAGCAGCCAGCCCAGGGGCTTCCTACAGCCAGAGGGACGAGCTGGCTGGATGATGGCCCAGGGGACAGTGATCCGTGTGGCCCCAGAGTGGCCCACCCGTGCTGTGTGTGTGCTGGGTACCTTGACTCAGCTCGATGTCTGTAGGTAAGAGGGGAACTTTCTGGAGGTTGGGGGGCAGGTCAGGTGATATTGGATGAACTGGTTCTGCTGGTACAGGAGCACATGGTTGGCGCTGATTCCAACCTCTCAGCCACTGCCAAGGGAACAGCTGGAGAGATGAGACCCCAGCAGCCCTGGGAGGTGCCAGACTCACAGTAGTGGTTTTTTGCCATGTACAAGTACAGGTTCCCCAGGACCTCACCACAAATACATTATTATGGGGCAGACAAGATGTCTTCCTTTGGTCATTAAGGCAACAGAAGCACAGAGAGGGTCTGTGACTTACTCAAGGTCACCCAGTAAATGTGCCCTAGGAGCAAGGCTAGAGCCTGGGCTTCCTGAGCCATAGTTTGTTACTCCATACCTCTTAGCCAGGCATCCCTTGGTGGGGCGTAATAGTGTTGGGGTGACAAGATGGGCTCTGGCACTAGAGAGACTGAGGTGGGAAACTTGGCCCTGCTGTTAGCTAGCTGGGCATCTGTTGTGCCCACCCCGGGGGTCGCCTACCCAAAGACCACTCACAATCACGAATCGATGCAAAAAGCAAGAGGCAGGTTTATTGCTGGCGCGTCAGGGTTCCTCAGCCACAAGGGGAAGGAACCCCGAGAGGCTGTTACAAACTGCTTTTAAGCGAAAAACTACATGCAGGGGGGGTGAGGGGGCGTTAGGGTCTGAGGTGGTTGGTGATTGGGGAATTTATAACTTGCAGGGTTGCTGGGCAGTTTTGCTCTGGGGACTTTTTGCGACGGTTATTTTTAGCACGGGTATGAGGCAGTAGGGAGGGAGTAGGGTGTTGCCTCCAGGTGCAAGAGTCTGATATGCGGGTAGAATGTTTTCATTGTTTTTTTTTTTTTTAGGGCCTCCTTACTGCCCTGTGGCCTAACACATCCTTGAGCAACTAAGCCTCAGTTTCCTTCTCTGTGAAATGGGGATAATACTCACATCATAAGGTTGTTATAGGAATGGAATGTGAAAATATTAGCTCAGTCCTTAGCACAGTGGGCCTATCCCTGGTACATTCACCCATCCATTCAACAAATACCAGTGAGTACCTACTGCGCGCTAAGCCCTGTGGCAAGCTCTGAGTTAAATAAGACAGTTGAGGAACTCCTCAGGGAGGGCGTGTGGTTGTTGCTGTCATTGTTGTCAGTAATAGCAGTGGCTGCTCCTGCCTCCCCTATCCCAGGATGGGCCTCAGTGGTCCTGGAATGATGCCCACAGGAGTATCTGAGACATTTCCTTGAGAATGTCACTTGCTCAGCCAGGTGTGGTGGCTCATGCCTATAATTCTAGTACTCTGGGAGGCTGAGATAGGTGGATTGCTTGAGCTCACAAGTTCAAGACCAGCCTGAGCAAAAGAGAGACCCTGTCTCTACTAAAAATAGAAAAACTGAGGCAAGAGGATCACTTGAGCCCAAGAGTTGGAGGTTGCTGCAAGCTATGATGGCATGGTACTCTACCGAGAGCAACAGCTTGAGACTGTCTCAGGAAAAAAGAAAGAAAAAGGAAGGAAGGAAGGAAGGAAGGAAGGAAGGAAGGAAAGAAAGAGAGAGAAAGAGAGAGAGAAAGAAAGAAAGTCACTTGAACGGAAGCAGCCAGAGAATAGCCATAAATATTGGGGTGGTCTTCCAGGACAACAGGGTGAAGTACAAGACTAAAAAGTTGAGTGGCAATGGAAAAAGAGAAAGCTTGGCATCATTGGAGGCCCCTGACTCCTCTGAGCATGAGCTTCTTGCTGGTAAGTAAGGAGGAAATGGAAAGGGCCGGAGCTAGCCCAGGGGCCCTCTCAGCATGCCCAGGCTACCACCTACTCAGCGACGAGGATGGTGGATGAAGGTCACAGGTGCTTGTTCTGACCTCAGAGTGGTGGGTGGGGAGCTGGCTAGGGCTGGGCCAGGAGGAAGGCTCTGCCCACTTCTCCTGGAAAGGATAGGGGCTCCAAGCTCACAGGCACCTCAAAATCCTTCTTTCCACCTTCTCCAGCCAGATATTGAGCACTGTCCTCCTGGGGCCAAGATGTTCTCATGGTGGCTAAAATTCATATCATCCTACATTTAACAGCCTTATGAGGCAGGTGATGCTGTTGTTCCCATTTTATAGAAGGGAAAACTGAGGCTCCATGAGGTTAAGCAAACCACCTGAAGCCACACAGCTAGTTAGTGAGAGTACCAGACCTCAAACCAGGCAGCCTGGTGCCAGACCCTCCTCTCTCCATCATCTCTTCCTGTCACTTCCTGGCTGTCCTTGCTGCAGCCCCAGCCAGCACCTCCCTCCCACCCCTTATGTAGCCATCACCCTTTTCCTGAACAGTAGGTGGATGGCCACTCCCTCCTCCTCTACTTACTTGACACCCCCCACCCCCAAGTACATGTAGGCCTTTGTACCTTTGCTCAAGCTGTGCCCTCTGTGCCCAGGCTTAGGGACCCTAGGGGTTAGACAGATAAGGTCATCCAGTCAGAAACAGATTACAGGGCTGCGGATGCCAATTTCAGAGCTGCTGTCAAAAACTCTGCTTGGGACTTTCATTCTGAGTTTGTAAATTTCCTTGCGAAATATGTAGATTACATTCAAACAAAATTGTACTGACCTGAGATGAATATTAAAACCTGTCAAGGACTTTCTGGGACATTCTGACTTAGGTCAGGGAGGCAGTTGTTTTGTGCCAGGCCCATTTTGTCCATAATTTCTAATCCTTGCTGAAATCTTTCAAGATAAACACTACCACGCCCTCTTTAGAGACAAGCAAACTGAGGCTTTTGGCGGTAAAAACACCTACCCAAGGTCACATAGATTAAAGGTGTCAAAGACAGGAGATTTGAACCCAGGACTGTCTGACCCTAAACCTATCTACCTCCTCCACGGAACTTGGGTTGGCTGACCTGCACTAGGCACTGCTCCCTGGTGGGCAGGGTTCATTCAGCACCCAAAGGATTTAGAAAAAGCCTGGAATGGATGGGTGGGATCCAGGAGTTGCTAATTGCACAGGGCAGGGGGCATTCTAAAGCTGCCATCAATGGGGTATCCTCTTCCTTCCAGGGTCTCCTTCTGAACCACTTGGTGTGACAGCAGAGAGCATGGACAAATGTGTTAGTATCTCTGAGCCTCGGCTTACTCATCTGTAAAATGGGAAAATAACACCCTGCATTAGGTCGTAGCAAAGGTTAAATTACATAATGCACATTGGGCAGCCACTAAGAGAGGTCCCCTCTGCGGTAAGGACACATGAGCCAGTGTGTGGGAGTGCTGCAGACCCTGAGTGCTGTCCTGGGGTCGTAGATAAGGTGATGATGTTGGATACTGGAGCTAGAAAGATGGTGTAATAACAATAACAATAACACCTTTGTTGTTATTATCAGCCACCCTGCACTGAGCACTGGAGTTCCCGGTGCTGGCTCTATAGAGGGTATTGGCGATTACAAGAACATTCAGCTGTGGATTATCTTATGATAACACACACCTGGGGCTACACACACACATGGCAAAAATCCCCAGATGTTTATAAAAGTTCTTTGCTTAGTAGCTGAGAACATCTGGGAAAAAGCACACGTATCCGAGGACTGAACCCCAGGAGTGCCACTTCACTGCCTTTCTGAGCCTCAGTTTCCCCACCTGGCAGAGAGGGTGGCTGTGAGGCCTCGAAACAGTGGCTATAAAGGTGGCAGAGCCACCTGTGTGTGCCCTTCCCCCACCCGTCAAGGAAGCCACCCAGGGCAGAAGGAGCCGAGGCCGACTTAGCACCTCAATCCGGGGGCCATGTGCTCCTTGGCCCCAAGCCTTGGTCCCACCATTGTTCTTTGAGCCCCATATTCATTTTCCTGTTGTACTAAACACACGGCATGGCCCTCCCCTGTCCCCATCCTCTGGCCATGGTGCCCAGGGGGATGGGGAGGCCTGGCTCATGCTGAGGCTTTGAGAGAAGGCAGGAAAACAGCGCACACCCAGCCCAGAGAGAGAGCCTCCCGGCTCTGGCAAAGAAACAAGGGCCTTTCTTTAAGTTTCGGTTTGACTTGGCTCGGCGCCTATAGCTCAACCGGCTAAGGCGCCAGCCACGTACACCTAAGGTGGCGGGTTCAAATCCCCAGCCCGGACCTTCCAAACAACAATGACGGCTGCAACCAAAAAATAGCCGGGCGTTGTGGCGGGTGCCTGTGGTCCCAGCTACTTGGGAGGTGGAGGCAGGAGACTCGCTTGAGCCCAGGAGTTGGAGGTTGCTGTGAGCTGTAATGCCACGGCACTCTACCCAGGGGGACAGCTTGAGGCTCTGTCTCCAAAAAAAAAAAAAAAAAGTTTCGGTTTGACCAGGGAGGTGTATGATAAACAGAGGCACCCAGCAGAAAGGAGCTGGTGCTGCCGGGAATCCCTGGGCCGGGAACTCTGCCCTGGGCGCAGGCCAAGCTGGCTCTCACTCATCGTTGTTATTATTATCGGCCACTCCACACTGAGCACTTAGCCACATGGCAGCCCTTGAACCACCTAGGAAGCATGTAAACATTAGTCTCATCTTACAGAGGAGGAAACTGAGACCCGGGGAGGGTCAGCGGCGAGGCCAAGGTCTCACAGCCTGTCAGAAGTCGCCCAAGGTCATTGCCCCTCTCCATCTCTTAGAGGCTGCTCCGGGCTGGCCTGGGGGAGTTTTCCTGTGGGCAGCTGAGCCTCAAGCCTGCAGGACAGCACCTGATGGAAAACCGCTCAGACCGGCTGGTGATACCTGAGTGCAAACCTCAAGCAGGTGCTGTAGCCCAGCCGGCTGGTGTAGACAGGAGGGCCTCTGTGCTGTGTGGTACAGTGGGAGTTCATGCTGACCCTGGCAACCTCCCTGACCCCGTGAGTCAGGGCACAGGCCCAGCCAGGTCTGTGCTCCCCCCCGCCAGGGGAATAGCAACCCAGCATCCTGCCCGCCGACCCCAGTCTGCATAGGGGCCAGGCCAGGAGAAGGTTGGAAAACCACCATGTGAGCTTAGGGGACTCGGACACCCACTATTTGA